TGGTAGATCATGGGGGGGGGGGGGCGAGCATATATATATATATATATATATATGGTTTTACACAGGCTTCAGTACTTCAAGTTTCTGGCGCTTCGATCACCGATTGCTGCACGGTTTCAGGTTTGGCTGCAAGGTGACGGAAAGATTAGCCGCCAACTTCGCATCGCACGAAGCACTGAACTGTCCCGGTGGGGAGGACGGGAGCGGTTTTCGTTTGGATTGCTGATCTGTGGGTTTGGGGTCTTAGACCTGCGAGGGTCTTGCAATTTGGGACTTTACGGTGCAGTTGGGTCTGGGATTTGGGACTAAAAGGACTTGAACTGTACGACTCGGGTTTAGTTCAACTTTGAGCTTGCCTTTGCACATGGCTTCGCACGCCTTATTGAAGGCTACATACCCTAAACAACCCTATAAACCCATAAACCGCTAAAAACACCCTAACCCCTAAACCCACAAGCCTAAACCGCTGACCCCTAAACCCGTCTTGGTTATTTACGACTTGGCACGGCCAACGCTTAAAGGCTTAGGAAGTGTCCATGCCGATGCAACCGGAAGGCCGCAGCTACTGAATGCCTCGATGTAGGTAGGGAGTAGGGAGGGTTTAGGAGTTTAGGGTGTGGGGTTTAGGGCCTGGGGCTCCGGGTAAGCATATCAGTGGGGACCCGCATGACCCCCTACTTTTGCGGTTTACATCTGGCAGTCTTCGGTGTCTTCCTTTGGGAGGGAAAGCTTAAGAATCAAGGCGATAAAAGTTTGCATAGCCAAGCAGCCGGTTGGGGGCGTCGAGCCGAATTTGGGGTACCCGGCGTATGCGAGTAACCTGCAGGTGGCAATGGAGCAGTCTTGTGTACAAACATGTCTGTGGGACTGACATGGATTGACGACGCGACGTATACCTAAAGCCTAAACCTAAACCCTAAAGCCTGAACCCTAAACCCTAAACCCTTGCGGGCATACCAAAGGACCCGGGTGATGCATGCATCCGGTGACTTCCCTGAGTTCCTGGAGCATCCGGCCACCAACAGCCAAAGACCAAACGGACAAACATTATTTAGGGGGTTTGGGGTTTAGGCTTATAGGGCTTAGGCTTTAGGGTTTAGGGTTCAGCTTTCTAGATGCCCAAAACCCGTCAAACCCACTGCATTCAACATTCAACCCTAATCGTGCTGGGGAGAGCACCGCCATTGCATGGGGCGCTTCTGGCCGGATAATCTCTGCCTTTCCTGGATGCCAAGATCTAGCGGTGTTAAGTTTGATAGGGTTTAGGGGTTTAGGATAAGATCTAGGGGTGTTGAGTTTTATAGGGTTCGGGGTTCATGCACGAGTTCCGCTAAACGTTTCAGAGAATCAGAGTGTCGGAGCACGATCCGCCCGTTTTTGAAGGTGTAATCCCGATGTGTCATCGGCATGAGGAAAACAATTCAAACAATGTTCTAAGACTTTACCCTACGAAACCCGAAACCCTACACCTTAAACCTGAACCTGAAGCCCCAAACCCTCAAGCCCTTTTTGAATCCCTCGTGTGCACGATGGATGTTGGATGTGGCCCGAGATTCGAAGCTTGGATTCAAGGCTTCCGGGTTCAGGGCAAGAGGATGCTCAGGGTTCAGCTGTTAGGGTTTGGGGTTTAGGGTTTAGTTGCAAACCCTAAACCCTAAACCCTAAACCAGGGGTTTAAGGGTTTGAAAGGGCACTTTGATATCCACCATCCCGCCTGACTGAAGCTCTCCCAAGATTATGGAGTTAGACCAGTAGCCCGACGCCCAACTATGAGATTGACAGCATGGCCAGCATGGCTTACCGTGAACCCTAAGCCATCATGGCTTATCGGTTTAGGGGCTTCGTTTTTCAGGGGTTGCGTTCAAAGGCGTCAGCTTCGACGAGCTTAGTAACTAGAGGAGCAACCCCTTTTGTTTTACGAGAGCTCATTCACAAGGATCCCAATAAAATGCAACGTAGATATAATAACTGTTCTACCAAGTATGGCCACTGTATTAGGATCCACAATTACCCCTAAACCCTATAAACCCTAAACCGTCAGTTAAGATCCTGTTATGCCGGGAATTGTAAACCAGACTGGCTGCGAATCTTGGTTGAAAGCTGTAAGGGCAGATCTGAAGAACGGGTTGCTGACAGTGTGTGCACCTCATGAACATGTTGTATGGGGGCCTAA